TGAATGAGTGCTAAGGGAGAAGCTATGTGTATTTTGTGACCCACTGCCACTTCTCAAAACCCCTGAGGCCTTAAAAGAGGAATGTAGGGACCAGACAAAGCGCCTAGGACTGTACCAGAGTGACTCTGCAGGCAGTGATTTGCAGCCATTGCCTCAAGAACCAGGATTTCAGGATTAGTGGCGGGTGCTGCAGGTGCCTCTCCAGCCAGCACCAGAGCAGCACAGAGCAGGTCCTGCTCCCAGCCCTTCAGCTCTCTCATTGCTTCCATGCTTCATTCTTCCAGTTGACTATTGGCTTTTTTTATACTTTTAAGTCTGAGCCTTACTGCTTATTAAAACGTAGAAGATTCCTGATTTGAATATCAAATGTCTTAGTCTGGATTAATAATACAGTTGCCAGCAAAGTTCCTGCAGGAAAAGGGAAGCAATGGCTGCAACAGTCTGCTTTCTGCACAAAGCCAGGACTGTGTGTGGAAACTTGGCACTTGCTATTCATCTGTTTGCTCAGCAGCTGAGCTGGCATTCACCAGCTACATGTGTTGGGTTTGTAAATAGACAGAATGCAGTAGCATTTTCTTAGGCATGTTTGATATTTGGCTCTTCTTGTTGGGTTCAGGAGCTCTGCGAACTGTCAGCTTGAATCCCTCCCAAAACTGGAATAACAGAAGTTTACAGTTTTCCAGCACTGTGTGTTGAATACCATCCTTAGATTCCTCCCAAGCCATCACAGCAAATAACAAGTAAATAGCGTGTGGTGAGTGTGTCCCCTGAAATCTAAATGGTTCTAAATAACCAACTGTTATTTCAGTATGGTCATGATAGCAGTGTTTGGAGGGGAATGTTGTAATTACACACATGCACAGAGAAACTTCAAAGGGGTGAGGCTTTCCTCAATTTTCGGAGGACTAATATTTGAAACTTCACATAAAAATGCAAACATTTCAACTGGTAAATTGGGAACTTGCAATATCTTATAGATTTGGGGCTACAAACCCAACTCTTCCCCACAAAATCTGGTACTTGGAGCAACTATTCACTCCATTTACCTTGATGTAGCTTACTTACCTAACCAAATCATTGCTTATGTAGGGAGCCTGGTGAGACCAAGGTGACACATGTTTGTGATCTGAACGTCCTGCAGTTTGGCATCACTGTTCTGGTTTGCAGCTAGAAGTACTGTGTTACAACATGAGTGCCTAACAGGTAATATAGCATTCCTCATCACCTGCATTTTATCAATCACAAATAGGGATAATAGTTCGTACAGTTAGTGTTATAAAGTATCAGTTAATGCCTGTGCTACTGAGAAAAAAGGATTTTCCTCCAATTGCTATACTATTGATTGATTGGCTATAGGGTCCAAGCATGTTCTTAAAGTCTATTTTTTGGTATTTATTTAAAGAGATTTATAAATAAAGCTCTTGTGTGAATCTGGTGTCAGGATGTTGGCAGGTCTGCCAACCACTGAAAAGCCGTAAGAGTTGACAGGAATGAATGAATGAATGCTAAGTGTTTGCATCTGAAAGTAAAAGTGATTTTACTCCAGTCACATTCTGTGATTGGAGTAAAAGGTTTTATAGAAATCTTGGTGTTTGGAATAACAGCATCCCTGCCCTTACTCAAACTGATAAACCTGAGAGAGATGCGTTTCAGTCTCACCCATTTAAGACCATCAGTCTGTACATGCTGCATGCATTTACAGGCTTAGAAAATGGGCATTAAAATGTGGGAGTTGAGGCTTTCTTACACCAGAATTAAGGGAATCTCTTCTTTAGTTCAGTAGTAATAGAGTTTAATATTAGGTAATTTATAGGACATAAATTGCCTACTTACCTGTTAATCAGTCATGGTTAATGAATTAGCTTGAAAGTATTTGATTTTAAAATCAATTTTTTCTTATACTTTGTCAGAGACAGATGGCTATGTAAGACAGTTTTGGACAATTTTTTGGACGCAACTTTGGCAAGAAAATTTGCAGCCCTGTTAGAGCAGCTCAGGTGAACAGTGCAGCTATGCGTGGGTCTCTATAGAAACTGCAGTCCTTGCCTACTCTCCCTTTGTCTGCGCCCTGCTCCTTCCTTCTCATTTCGTGAAGCGAAGACATACTGTTGGGATGAGTGTGTCCTTCACAAACTGCACTGGATGTATTTTTCACATTGTGAACAAATTCTGGTACAACCCAAATCTGCCGGTGAAGTGATAGCAGCTAGCAGCCAGCTAGCATCTAAAGCTCTATCTGGGCACATAGTGTTTTTGAGTTTAGGAAGCTGTAGTATCTATATACATACATATATATATATATATATGTAGCTGTTAGACACTGTAATGTCACAGCTTTCAAATGCAGCTGGACAATCATAACTTCTCAACCAAAAGATAGACCAGTATATCCTAATGGCCTTCCAGTGACACAGGTGTGATCCGGGTGTGTTTGCTCCGGGTGTTGGCAGCGCAGACAGGGGTGCCGGGCCCTGCCCACATGCCGGGCAGGGGCAGAGCTGCAGTGGCTCCGGGCAGGGCTGGCGGGGATGCAGGGGCTCAGCACAGCCCCTGACAGCCAGGCCCGGCTCGCTGTCACGCGTGGCTCCGTGTTGCTGCTGGCCTGAGGAGCCGGCACTGCCGGCAGCGCTGCCACACCCACAGGATTCTGCAGAATTCACCTCCTTTGACTGCTTGGCTTGAGCACTCTGCTCCATAAACACACACACCACCCCTACCTATATAACTGGACGAACTTATTTTTAAGGTATATAAGAATATTTTTAGCTAGATTTGTTTTGTTAAAGCCGCACTAACTACTGTATTTTTACTTTTTATATGTAAAGGTTGGCAATAGCTCTCAATGTATAATTTATTTGTTGGGTTTTTTATAAAATGAAGTGCACCCTCTTGCTTTTGTTTCACAACACTGGTGACATATGAACTGTCTTAGCCACTGCACTGAGATCTGTATTGAAACTGTACATGGGAACAAGTAGATCTGTAGTCCACTCAACCCAGTCTTGGAATGTTTGTACTGTAGTTTTGTCTTAAATACACCATGTCAGTGCAAAAGTCTTGCAGAGTCATCTTTGGGCCCCCTGTGTCACACCAGCACAGCACTCAGAGGGGGTCAGCTGGGGCTGGGGACACCGGGTTGCTGCTCTAAACTCAGCCTCTTGGCAGTTAAAGTGTAACTTAGGACAGCACCAAAGCTTGCAGGTAGATGCTAAAGAATTAAATGCCTTTTTTCCAGCAGAGCTGAGATTGTCCAGGAGGACTGTCAGGTGTCCAGTGCCTTTGAAAAACCAGTCCCAGGCGTGTGCCCAGAAGGGGAGCCCGAGCTGCTGGTGTGATTCCAGTGCAGGCCAGTTAACCAAGCACCCTCACTGTTCTCAAGTGCAGCAGCACTAATGAGTGTTCAAAGGGAACTGTTTACTACCAAGCCATGACTTCAGGTAAACACTAAAGATGGCAGCAGAGGGCAACTAAACCCTTTGATCATCTTTGTTTCTCAAAAACTATTTGCAAAGTATCAAAAGGAACAGAAATTACTCCGTCCTAATGACTAAGCTTATAGGAAATAATTTCTCTTGTGGCATAATTTGTTGTGTGAGCAAACTGTGGTCCGACTGATAAATCACTGAATGGTTCTTCACATCCACTTGCAACTCAAAACAATGAAACCGTTGGGTTTTTCTATTATTAACTGAAAAAAACCTTCTTTGAATATCTGCAATTTAGAAGAAAATATTTCTGCCATTCATGCATTTTAATATTTAGAAACCAAATGTCAGTTAAAACAATGAATTTGTTGAGATGTTTAGCGCTGATCAATTTGTTCCCTTATGTACAATCTATGATAAAACAGCACATCTTGTGTCTCAGATGAGGTTGCCAAGAATGCTGCATCCTTTTGCTTTTGTTCTATGGACTGAATTTCTTTGAGCATATCAGATATGTGCAAGGTTCTCTACTTTTCACAGACATTCTAAACAGCCAACTTCAGTGGCAGCCCCTTCAGTCCCAGCCAAAAATGGTGTGTTTTGTTTTGTTTCTAAATATTTGCCACTAGCTGGAGTAATTCCATTCATTATTTCATGCAGGCCACCACCGAGCTTTCAGATGGCAGCAGCTTTTAGTCCCTCACTTGGCCTGGGATGAATTCTTATTAACTGCTACAGTTATGGAGAAATATCATAAGCACATCCACAAAAGCTCTTTTCTGCCTCTCTGAAAAGGTGCCTGCAGTGGGAAAAGAGGAGTGAGGTGCTCTGAGAACCCTTTTGGTGTAACTGATAGCACTGGCTAAGGTTTGGTAGGGGATATGATCAGGAAGTGTCACAATGGTGTAAGTAAGGATTGTGTCCTAGGTCTGGACACTGGAGGGTACCTGAAATATGGGTTGTGCATGCTCAGAGTGTACTGAGGTGTCAGGCACTCGTGTGGGCATCTGTGGGATGCAGTCACTGCAATTCCCAACACCCCTCCCTTCCAGCCTGAGCTCACCCTTGATTTTTGAAGACAAGGGAATGGGCCACAAAGGGAGAAAGAGCCTCCAGTGGTTTCAGCAAAGCTGCTGTAGCACAGAGCCCCACTTCAGGCTCGGGGCTCTCTCCCCTTGCACCGCATTGCTGGGGCCAAGTGCAGCTCGGCCTCCCGTGAGCCAGCCTGGAGCCCCATCCCTGCAGCCAGACCTTTCCCGAGCCCCTGCTCTCCCTGTGTCCTGTGCAGGGCCGGGAACAGCAGGGCCCTTAGAGCTGCCTCGAGAGGTTTGGCATCCCTTAGGTGATGGAGTGGGTGTGGTGCCGCCAGTGCTGTGCCTCCACCTGACCTGGCACACGAGCAGAGCCCAGGGGAGGGAACAGGGGAGATGGGCTCACTCCAAGCTGCTTTTCCTGCCCGTGCCAAGCCATTGCCTTTGGGCTGGCTTGCGTCCCGCCTGCGTTGGCTCCAAGTAAATGTTAAACCCTTCGTGGGGCTGCCAAAGGGAAGAGAGTTTGAGGGGGCAGGAAAAAAGGAATGGCAGAGGCTGGATGGCATTTTCCTGGGGCTCTTGCACATCCCCAGGATACCACTACCTGCCAGGAGGCCTCCGCGTGACTTGGAAAAATCACTGGTTTATTGTTGCCCTTTCCAGTTAAATTTCCTTCCCTCGTCAATCCTAGATAAAAGGCTGTATGTTATGGCAGCTCTCAGGATAAAGCCAAAACAGGCATGTCAGTCAGCATGAGGAAAACAAGCTGCTGATTTAAGACTGCAGTGCTGAGTACATGCTCAGCTCAGTCACTGTATTCATGTCCCTTCCAAACAAACCTCCTCAAACTGGGAAATTCTTGTTCTTGGAGGAGAAATTCAAAGCCTGGGCAGCCCTCGAAGCCGGCTGAAGTGCAGGGAAGTGACTGGGGCTTGCAGAATCACGTTCCTTGGTCAGAGAGGTAAGTTCTTTGTTCAGTTAGAAAATACAAACACATACTTTAGACTCATAAAGGTGAATATGAGCACACAGTGATAGGAAACGGAGCAGGCTTTATTCACATAGCTGTGTACAATCCTCTCTGTTTCCAGGTAAGGGTCATGGATGGTCCAAATAACTTAGGTAGCTTTTGCAAATCCATCCATAATTTTCTTATTGAATTCATGTGACAGTTACTTGTGAAGAAATGATGAAAGTATCTCTAAATATTCTTGAAACCTGTAAATTACTTGTAAGTCATTATTCCTATGAAATTTTTCAAAAGTGAACTTTTCAAATATTTGGTAGTATTAACTTACAGTTCCAGGTAATTTCAGATACCAGCAGCTCTTACAGACAGCTGCTGTTCTGTCAGAAGGCCGGTATTTAGTAACTTCTATGGAAATATATGGAAATAAATGCTTTGAACACTTGGACAACATTACCTTGCAAAACAAGAACTTTTTCTTTTCAGCAAAGAAAAACCATATATGAACTCAGAACTTACTACTACAGAGGGGAGATGCGTAACAAGTACTACATAGGGTGATAAAAGAGAGACAGGGTTGGAAAAGCAGAAAACTCTTTAGGGCTAAAACATGAGTTGCCAGTCAAAACAGCCCATGTTTTGTGACATTCTGTCAAGCCCTCCTCTTTCTGTTCCCTCCCCACCCTGCTGTGGGAAATCAAACCCTTTTGTTTCTGTGTTCAGTCATTAAAGCCAACACTCATTTGGCATATCCTTTGTTCTCACAGGTATAATGCCCTTCCTCTGGTCCTTGCTCATGATTTCCAGGGGACACTCATTGTCTCACTTCCTCAAGGTTATATACAATGCTTGAATATCTTCTAGAATTCAGTTGCTGATTTGTCTGTTGGGTTCCTTTGTCGTAGGCCATCTCACATTGCAAATATATTGTGCAAAGAAGACTCAAGAATTTAAAATCTTAGAGAACATTCCTGTTAAGACTAATCGAATCCCTCAAATGTGACTGTATTCCTCTTAGGCCAGTGCAAAACAAGCAAGCTTTGCCCCTGAAAAGGCATCTGGTGGAGCCAGTATGGGTTAGTGCAGTTCTGATTTTCAAGGCAGCATTGGCCATTGCAATTTGAAAGGGTATGAAGTGACCAGGAGAAAAGTAACAAAAAGAGCAGCATTCCAACAAGCTCCTCTCAGAAATCACAACTTACATGCAAGTTGTGACTTAAATATATGTCGGGTTTTGTTAACATTGTAAAAAATCTGTTCGCAGCAAGTATGAGAAGGTTTAATTATTTTTTTCCCCAGCGTGCTGATAGGAAGCTGAAGACAGTTGCAAGCAGTTGGTTTTCCACCTACTGCCACGGTGGTGGAAATTTATTCCTTCACTTTGCAAGCAAAGCAATCACAAGCAATCAAACTCCATTTGCTTGAAGGAGATCTCAGAGAAGCTGGACAAAGGTTTGCCCCCAATGAGCAGCAGTGTGTTGGTCCTGCTGATCCCACCCTCTGTGGCCACACACCCACAGTCAGGTCTCTCTTCACCCACAGCCTGAGCAGCAGCAAAAGCCTCTCCCGAACAGGCCAACAGATGGAGAGACTTGTCCTTGGACAAACAGCTCCTGTCTCTGTTTGGGCCTAGTCCTGCCTCTGAAGTGGTCTGGAAGGCAGGGAATTCTGCTGGTTCCAGGGGCAGGCTGAAGGTTTTCATTTCGATGGCGTTGCTGCGCTCCGTGGGCTGTGGGCGGAAGAAGCTGCAAAAGCCAGAGTGCCTCAGCACGGGCACCAGCTGGGGATGGTCCTGCTCACTCTTGCGGTGGCTGGGGCATGTATCAGTGAAATCTGAGGTAGTTTGAAAATCCGCACCAATTCCTAAGATGCAGTGATACATTTTAGGAGAAAAGTTTCCCTTTGTAGTACTACTAAGCTTCTTCCATGTCTGCGTAAGGAAATGATACCTCCAGAGGTCATCATTAGGGCTGGAATTTGAAATCCCTCCACCAAAAATCAGCATAGAGTCTTTGCAGACTATTGAAGCGTGACCTACCACCGGAGGAGGTCCTTGGCTGAAGGTAAGAGAAACCAGCAGTTAAGGGGAGACCAAAAAGAAACTTAGCACTGATTTTAGCTTCTGTTTTCCTTTTGACTCAGACGGATGACTGCTGAACAGCTGCATTGGGACATCAAAATTACACTGCTGACAGCTGCATCAACGCCTTGCCAACAGCTCTCCCGAGCAAAGCCAACTGCAGCCCCAGGGATGGCAGCAGCACTGCATCCTGATCTGAACAATCCCTACAATTACCGAGAGGGCATTGCCTCCCTCTCCACCCGCACGCAGTATCAAAGAGTAAGATTAATTCTCTTTCTCTGCTCTTACAGCGTAACAAATAGAATAGGTCACCTTGTTCTGATGCTGGACCAGCTGCTGCTTCCAAAGTCCCACCTCCACAAGTCCCTCTGTTCAGTGAGCCCCACCAGCCCCCCAAAGAGGTACATGGCTGTGTGATAAACCACTGCCGAGTGGCCGTGCCGCGCTCCGGGGCCACTGCTGTGACAGGGGCTGGAGACACACAACCACTTCCTTGTATCTGAAACAAAAACACTGATATACAGATGGACTGACTATTTGAGAAAGGATTTACTTCCTGGAGGAGGTAGCTATTCAGTTGGAGAATAAAGGTTTCTCCTCTAAGCTTATTATGAGTTAACATATTAAATTCTGACACTGAAAAAGTGCATTTAAAAAATCAGTTTTGAAATCAGTTTTGAAATAAACTTTTAATGAAAATGTCAGATGCTGTGTGACAGATGCCATGGAAATTTTATTTACAGAGCAGTTTTTCCTACAGCTCTGTCAGTTCATTGACTCTGATACAGAAAGATACTTTTCTGGCTGTTAGAGGGAAAAAATCAGTCAACAAAAACATTAATTCATTAATGTCTCTACTTATTCTCCTTAAGAGAGAAGGAAGGATGAGATAAACCCATCATTTTTAACAAAATAGTGACAGAATGGCCACCAGATAACAGTTATGCATTTAGGAAATCTCTGGGAATCATCTTATTTGCAATAATCAGACTGGTAATGAATATGTTAATAAATTATCTCCTGTCAGGTTTGACTCTCCGTGGTCAGTTGGAGATCTGAGATCAAAAGATGACATTAAGAGGCTGAAATCAGGATCCCTGCTGGATCTGAAAGTTTTTAGTAGTCCTTGAAGAATTTTAGTGAGTAGTAAACAAATATTCTCCCTGATTTTCAGCTGTAAAACTGGCAAATACTGCAAAATGTATTCCAGTATAATAGTCTAATTAATTTCAGCCAGCAATTAATTGAATTTGACAGAATTTGTCACTAAATGTTGTCAAAGAGAAGCCAAAACTAACTTAGAGCATTTCTACTGACAAGAATTTTCTTAGCAGAGCAAGCTCTCCTGCTGCGGTTGTTGTTTTACACTGGATCAAAACCTTATCCTGCTTTTTTAACTTACCAAAATGGAATTCCCAAAACTCCTGAGAAATGCCTTTGATGCCAAAGTATCCCCCATAGATGTACATGCTGGAATGGTACACAACTGCACTGTGACCTTTTCTGTTAGCTGGTGCAGAGCTCTAGAACAGTTCAAAAATAAGACAAAAACCTATAAAGTCCTATCAGCAGCAATGTCTGTCTTGGAAATATGCCTTGTTTTTTAACCCACAAATGACCCTGCAGTCCCAAACTTCCTCTTGACTCCCCCATCAACTAAAGGTAACCAGAGTGGTAACTGTGTCACATCTCAAAAAAAAAAATTGGGTGTGATTTCAAGGTATAGAAGCATTGTGATGATGACATTTCAGTAGCGAAAAAATGAGTGATTCCTAATGTGTAGTGATACAAAATCAATCTCAAAAGACCAAGCCACAAATGCTTCCACTTAGGTTTCAATTAGAAGTGGCAGTAACTTGGTGAGTCCACGTGTTCACACTGAAGAATTGAAAAATGCTGCAGCACTTCACGTTCCAAAACGTATTAGTGTGGCTGCCAATCTGTTTTCACAACCCTACTTTTAAAAGCACAGGCTTCACGTATGGTTCAATATTCCATTTAAAATTAGTTTTCTTGAAAAGGATTTCAGAAAAACAGAAGCAGCAGCAGAGGAGAGGACTTAACTTCTTACATAGGACTTAAAATTTAAGAGCAGTATTTTTAAACACTGTTTTGAAGAAGGAAAAAGCCTTAAGTTACTGAAAGTGCAAAGAAATAAAGTACAGCCACATGTCTCTGAAGAGACGAGATTGGAACTGTTTGGGGGAACATATTTCAAAGCAATCTGTTTAATCAACAAAGCAACAGGCATTTGATTCACACATTCCCCACTTCCTGGCTCCTTACCTCCGTCTCTGCTGGTTCGTTGCAGCTCTCTGTCCATCTTGCGGAATCTGGGGGATTGAGTTAATAAAGCGCAGTTTAGGTCCCGCACCACAAGAGGACACTCCTCCCGCAGTAATTGCTCAAATTACACAGCTCATTTTCAAGGAAGTCTCGTCCTGGTGTTTTCTACTGACAAGGCTGCAGAAATCCTGCTAAGACAGCAGCACCGAGAGACTTGCAGGAGACACAGTTTGAACAGTTTTCCTCTATCCTTATCAGATACAGAATCATACAGGTGCCACACTGTGTTCCTGTTTCCTAAAGCTAAATTTTATAATGCAGAAGTAACCTGTGATTTTCATCATTTTCTGAACTTGCAGGAATCCCAGATTTCCCTATGGATGCATGACTCCTCCTGTTTACCACACACACCTCATTATGGCAGACTTGTTCTTTTTCATAGGTCCCTTAAATAGCCCTCAAATAACAGCCAGCAATCACAGATCTGGCATCACCATGAAGGAGAGGAAATATCAGATAACACAGCACAGAATACAATGAGAAATCAGTGCACGCTTGCATTACTTAAAGCTATTCTTGCCAGAAGATTTTAAATAATAACTATGAAACAGCTAGACATACAACCAGTGCTGAACAACTCATTTCCAATTTCCACTGGTAAGTACTGTGAGTAGTAAGATGCTTTCTCCTTTAAAATATGTTCTGAGGCTTTTCTTTCTTCCAGCAGGTTATCTCAGACAACTGGTGTAAAAACCCCCATTGTCTTAAGGTTACATAGTGAAGTAGCAAAAGAAGCCAGGACACTTAAATCTTGGTCTGGACCCAAGATTTACTGGCTCAAAAAGAACTGAGCCTCTCTCTCTCTCCCCTCCTGATCTGACATCAAAATACCAGCTATTATTGTACACAGGATTTCCAAAGGGCGAATCCATGGTGTATGGCATTGCTATTAGATTCAATGCTGCACTGTTTTTCTTAGAATACACACTTAAGAGATCCCACATGTTTGTTATTAGGAGAAAAAAAAATCCATGTTATAAAACGTTGATGTTAGTTTCCCACTTTATTTAATATTTTATTTCTCTTGCTCTAGCTTATGTGTTTCTTTAGTAAAAGTACAAATGAGATCTATTTACTGATCTACTTTCTTCCATAAGAGCTTGGTTTTTAAAATATAAGTGGCATAAAAAAAATTAAATAATACATGAATTGTCAGGTCTTATGATCAAATAGTAAATGTAAAAAGGAGAGAGGGAAGGAATGGAAATTCTGAGACCTTAAAATACATAAAATTTTCCCATAAAATCCTCTCTAATTGAAGTAAGACCGGCATCTCTGATAGCTTAACAGCCTAATTTTGAGGGGAAAATATGCACACAGTTTTGCACACATTACTTGCTGTAAAGCTTAAGGAAGGCTCTGTTACAAGCAGCAGAAAACAGTTTGGTTCTTATTATTTATTACTGCCTATGGAATGTCCCATGGAAAAGACTGGCTTTTGTGTATCATACCAATGTCATATATCCAGAGAGGAGTTTTTGCTTGTGTGAAAGCAGAATCCACCATCCCACCAAAAATATACAGGCTGCCCTGCAAAATGCACAAATATTTATCACTTACAGGAAGGCAAATAGCATTAAAATGATTTTAAAAACAATTCTTAAATGCAAAGGTTGCTTTCAGCAAAATATATTTAACAAGTTACAAAATATAGTAAACAATGTTTTAACAGTTAATCCCAAAAAGCCACCAACTTTAATTATTCTTTTTTTATTCTCTCCCAGTGGGAAGCCCTGAAGAACATTCTGCTGTTTAATGAGGAGAGTATTTCAGAACTGCTCGTTCCATGTCAGCCTGGGGCAGCTTCAGGGCTGGGAATCTGGAGCTCTCTTGAGGCATTGCTCAGGTATATTGGATTATCCATGTTTAGAGAAATGTTTCATTGTGTGGTAGCTCTTGATATCCTAAATTCTGTCTTCCCCTCACAGGCAGGGCTGTAATTCTTACTTTGCTTTTACTCCCTCATCCCTTTTCTACAAGAGTTCTGTAGTGAATGTTTTTATGCCGTAGCTGATCATGCAAATGAATTCAGAGCAACTGTTACAACTGCACAGATAAGTCAGAGAAAGTGCTGCCAGGGTCTTTATCTGGTATTACTGCTACTTATTGAGCACCGACTGAGGAAACCAGAGGGCTGCTGCAGAGCTGAATTACTGTCACTCTGTTCAGAAAGATTCCAAACATTGGTACAGCTACATCCAGAACTGCAACAACACAAAAATGCTTTCTGGGCATAGTATTTCACTACATAATACCTATGGCATTTTATTGCACTGTATAGTAGGAAATAAAATGTCAGGATATGGACAACATAATCCTTGTCTACTACCTTATAAGCCACCATTGAATGTTCTTCCAGTTCTTCTGGACCATCTCTTGAGCATTCCAACATTTCCCATTCATTTTTCACTGTAAACCAAAGCTGAAGTTAAGACAGTAGTGCACTCAACACATAAACAGTAGGGGAAAGGTGAAAAGGTGGGCTTTGAATGTGGCTATGCTGCTTAAAATGAATCATTTTGTCATCTTTCCTCTGTTCTCCCAAAAATTAAATATATGCATTTTTTTCTATTTAGCAAATTTAAATATAATAGTAATAGTTACATTTAAATATAATAATTGTTACTCCTTGTATTTTAATTGTTACTTACATCAAAACTGGACAATTCCATGAGTATGAACAATTAGCAAAATTCTGTTTTATTCCAGTAACAACTGAACAGGGAAAACCATACATCAAGTCAAAAAATACAAGGTATTGTATTCACATGTTTGTGCACTTCCATATGCATGAATTATTGCTGTGTTAGAGAGTCAGGAAAGCTCATTGATATCCCTTGCTAGAATCAGGATATTTTAAATTACTCAGTATTTCTGGTCGAGAAAAAAAAAACAAAAAAAAACAACAAAAACAAAAGGAACTGAACTGAAGTCAAAACTCTGAGGGACACTTGCAAGAGGAGAAAACACCCCCCATCTGCCCAATGAACAAAAAGCAGTTTATCCAGCCTGTGATGGAAAGTCCTTAAATGAGGATAATCTGTTAAGTACAGAGCGTCCTCAGTTTCACGGTGACGATGTAGAATGGCTTTAATCCTGACAAACAAGAGAAGGGCCAGCTCACCTGTGTGGTATCTCCAGAAGTCCCCCAGCGTGGTGCTGCCGTGCCCTCCGTGGAGATAGACGCAGCCTCTGCAGACAGCACAGGCGTGCTTGTATCGGTCACACGGACGCGGCCGCTGCGCCTCGGCCGCACCGCAGGCAGCGCTTCCCTTCATGCTGATAACCAGGATCTTATCCAAGGATCAACTTGCAAAGGGCTGCCATGTCAGTGGAGGGTCCCAAAATATCAGGGACAGGGCTGAACCCCGTTTGGTCTGCAAAAAGACAAAAAAGGAAAAAAGAAAAGTCTCCACCTTATGATAAAATGTTACTATGTTTTCTTTTCAATCCCCTCAAAAGCAACATTGGACAAGTTTGTGATAAGACACCAACTTGAGTAAAGCACCTGAAATTCTGACTCAGATTCTTGTACCAGCGAGGCTGGGACAGGAACATTCCTGGAGCTGAAAGTTTTCCAGAGAATATCAGTGAACTGAAATCAGTGAAGCTCCAACACGCTACATTTACAATACCGGGGCTTGGTCTTTTTTCACAACTAAAAGAGTACTTTAGACAAACCTGTACTAAAAACAACTTTGGAAAGAGTGATTATTTCGGATGGAAGTAATGCATTAGCAGTTGTCCAGAATTTGTTTAGACTTTTATCTGTAAACCTGCTGAAATGAGGATGCATCTGGAAAAAAATGACACAAGCCCTTCCCATGCCACAAGATGTCACTGTGTTCTGTGAAGACATAAGTACCAAGAAAACATTCTTCTATTAATCCTCTTTAAAACAGTGGCTTATTTCAACATAGATTATTTTACGAAGCACACCCAAAAAACCCCCCATGCATTAGACCAGATTTGGGAATTTGTGTTGATAATGTGTCTGAGGTGACGTGTCAACAAATGGAGTGACAAGGTCTCCCAGCTCCAAGAGTTTTCAGTGGGAGCCAGATTCCAGCTGCATTGAGAACCCAGGATGGAAATCAATAGGGAAGAGTAATTTACCTAACGGTAATGTGTAAGTCCAGGGCAAGCTGCACTTAACTTGAGGAAGAACAAAGATTACAGTAAAACAAGCTAGATACAGAAGCTAGTTATATTTCATATTAATATGAAATTGTACCTAACCTAATTTATCATCCATTCATCTCTAAAATTTACCCTTTTTAAGACTGGAATACATTCAGTGACAAAGAGATGCTAGAGAATCTCTTGCAGCATATTCAGGCAAGATTAAGTACTTCAATTTTGTTGGGGGATTTTTATTATGCACAACAGTATTGTAGGCTATTACTGTAGAAACTGAAGTATATTCTTTGTATGTTTTTTTCTGAAGGAATACAAAGATGGGTGGCACTTACTAAGGGTGCATTTCTCATGTCCAGAGGAATTAGCAGATATGAAGTAATGACACATTATAGGTCTGTAAGTCCATAATGCTTCCTGGCATCCCATTGAAAAGGGAAAAGCAGCTGAAGGCATGAAACAGGGATTATCTCCCTAACTCTGCCAAGCTTCTGAGCAACCACAGCCAAATCATTCACTTCCACACCTAAATGGGGACAGTCACTTCCTTAGTACAACACTTCAAATTTGCTGATGCAGTGCAGTGTAACAGCGCCAAGGTATTACTGCTATTGATGTTATTAACTCTGAAAAGGGTGATAGGTTACTAATACTTTACAAAGGTAAAACAGACTTGTCCCCTTGCTGTTTGTGGTTTCTTTCTCAGTTATAAAGCTGGTTATTCTCCTTCTTACATATTTCTGCTTGTTTTTGTTCCTCCAAGCCTTGCCTCCTGTTGTACAAACATTCAGAGATGATGACAGCCCTGATTTCATATAACAGATTAGCAACAAAGTCCTGTCCAGTTGTTTATCTAGCCCAGCTGAACTCTTGCAAGGTGAGCAGGATGGGATAACAAAAGGCCAAGCGGGGCTGAACTGAATGGGTGTCACCTCCCAGTCACACCTTTTCAGCTTCGGCTGACCCTTGTGAATCTTGGCCATTTACTCTCTGCTGAAGCATTTTTGGAAGCAGACCTACAATCCCTAACAATCAGTTAACTGCTCCACTTCAGAGCTGGGGAAAAAACCCACCAAGTTAATCATGAATCTTGCCTTTCATCATTGGTATTTTAAATTGCAAACTTGACTCCCAGATTGCCGTCTACAGAGTTCATCTGTCAACCTGAGCAGCCCCATTTCCAAAGAAAAGCTGCTCCTCTTCTGAGAACAATGTCACCGAGACTTGTCCTCTGTGTCCTGCACCACTGACCTCAGTTTCAACTTGATACAATCTCAGTTGTCCAATAGGAAGCTCTGACTTCAGAAAAAAAAATTTAAAAAGACAACTCTGAACATTTTTATTCAACTTTTTTTTATTTTTTTTCCCAAAACAGCTGTAGCACACACAAAAATGTCTGCTGCTCTCCAAAGTCTTCTGCCATTCCATTCTAAAAATAGCTCCTGTGCAATCAGTCCCAATTGTTAAAGGGCTGGAGGAGCTGAGTGGAGGGCCTGGAGAGCTGCAATTAGTGCAGTAACTATAGCACTGTGTATCAATTAATGGCACCCCACTACTGTTTCATAATACAAATAATTCAGGAAATGTAGCAAGACAGGAATTACTTCAGGAAATGTAGTTTATATGTTCATTATACAATTATTTATATTTCTGATAGATGTGGTTTCTCAGACAAATGATTTATTTATTTAAAGTATTGCATAAATAGATCTTCATTAAAGCTTTTTTTCCTATCTCGGCCCCTTGATTCATTTCCATCTGTTTTCAATACACTCAGAAAAGTTTCATTTTTAAAATGATCAAGCTTTTTGGAATATAATGAGATATGAAATCACTCATATGGGGAGGGGCCCAAGTAGGAAATCTTGTTCTGTTTTGGGGCTTTTTGTTAATGACCCAGTTTTCTGAACTCAAGCCTTGAACCTTTCCAGACAGAACACTGCATTTTCTCACTAGGCAACTTGATGCTTTACTGCTTTTCAAAAATAATAACAGATCTTCCCATTTGTACTTATCCCAGAAACCTTGGCTCTAGAGGTGGTTTTATTGTAAGTCTTGTTCTAACGGGACTGCCTGCATGAATGAGGAAACTCGGGAGACTTGCAAGGCCCTTACAAAGTTTTAGAAACAAACCTAACAACTTGTTGAGAATAGAGAAAAGGCTTTTTTTCAGTATATCTTGTTTACTAGCAGTGCTTCACTATGTGTGATAAATTTAGTATCCTCTGGTTTGCTATTTTATTTTTTCCTAAACTCAGGATCACCTGAACTGTTTCTGTGGTGGGTATTTTTTTTTTGTTTTGGTTTGGTTTTTTATTTACAAAATACAGGAAGTAATTTTCAGAGATGCTCAGCTTCAGAGTTTCAACCTGAAAATGTGAATGGCTCTAAGACTGTTGGGTGTCTGTGACAGTTCTGTATTATTAGCATTTTGAACTGAAATAAGGGCCTGGCTTTGCCACGTGTTGTAAAACATGCAATTACCACATGACTGAGCTTACAAGTGCAGGAGCCAAGACAAAAGGAAGGGAACAGAAAGAGGTATTGCTTCTCACAGGGAGAAGCTGAAGGACAGAAAGAGGCTTTGTAAAATGACAAATCAAAGCAGAAGACACAGCTCCATCCTGATTTCAGGGTTCAGAAGAAAGACAGGTACTTTCAAGTAAAACAATAACAATCCTGTTGTCTGAATAAAGCTTAGAGCAGACATACTAAAAACTGACAGAAAAACTGGAAAGCTTTTATTTGAATAACTCTTAGTTGAATTTTAACAATTTTAGGGCAGTATTTGTAAACATGATCACTGCTATATCTCAGTGCTTCAAAATGCTTTTTGACATGAACAGGTATTTTAAAGGGGGCAACTTTTCTGACCAGCATATATTACAGTTTCTATAATATGTTCTACTGTATGATACAAAAAATACAATTACAGTTTCTCTGTGCTGTAAGGCTCTGTAGGTAACTGCTCCTTCTGGAGAGAGCAGTGCCACAGCACCGAGGGCATTGGCACCATCGCTGCACAACAGAGAGAACATCATCAGTCTCTCCCAGAGAAAAGCTCACTGCGTGGTTCTGGAGCTCTGCAGGCAAGAGATTGCTTTTCTTTAATTCAGATCACATTAATATTAAAGCTTTAATTTTAGAAGTTCATAATAAATTTATGTTTGTGTATCATTGCAAAATTAAAATTTGCAAATTGACATTATTAATACATTGTCTTTTGTTTTTTCTAGAAGCTTTCACCCAGGAATGAAAATCCTTCAGTCGTTTAGTGTTTTGTAACACTATTTCATCCCTGTTATATAGTGAATTCTTAAGTAGTAATAAAATAACTTATTAAATAAATGTAAATATATGCAGTTGTATTTTCTATAAGCTAGGTACAGTTCTTATTTTTAAGTAAACAAACAAAAAAAATATAAACTTGGTTTAGAATAATACAGTGAATATTTCAGCTACTTCCCAAATATGGTGGAGGAGGAAATATCTGGAAAAAAGAAATTCAGTACCTTAAATATTTCTGGGGTTGTTACATTTTTATATACACTTCTAGCATATGAATCAGGAAATTGCCTTTTCCACTGTATTTAAATATGTTTTATGGTAAGATGAAAGTGAATACATTTTTCCCACCTTAGTTTCCTTAGTAAATTAAAATTTCATTTGCTGGGGATTTTTTTGTTTGGTTTTTGTTTGTTAGTTATTTGATAGTTTGGGGTTTTTTTTAAAGAATGGGCTTTTTTATAAACTAAAAATTAGAATATATTGTTTTGATTAGTAGATCTCCCCATGTAATCTGTTAATTACAATTTACATTTGCAATCATTTAACTGCATCTCAATTTTGAATGAAGTCTCTGAGAAAGAGCTTCCCTAAATACACATCCATGGGTGGCACAAGTGTATAGGAGGTTATGGATATATAAATCCAGGGTAGCAGCCATGCGTGATCAAAAGTTTTTGCTCATAATCAATGTATGTATGGGTTTTATTTACTTATGGTCCTTAATAGGATATTTACTTCAGGAACCTAATCTGCTTTTCAAATCTTATTTAGGGTCCTGCTGGTGACTCCACCCACAGGCAGAACTCAGTTTCTGTTGTGGTCTCAGCGCAATGGAGAATGGAATGGACACCCTGACTGTGAAGGGTTGCTGCAGCAAGACTTCTGGGCTCTTCAGAAATTATCTGAGACAAACAGGTGATTTTGCATCTTCTAGGTATGACAGAGGGAGGAAATACAGTTTCTGGTCCTCAGACTTTATGAGAAAAGAAATGAGAAATTCCCACCATGTTCTCAGGGCAGTCTTAAGATGTATTTGGCCTTTTAGCCTTTCCTTGAAAGTAATTTGTACTGTCACCACTGGAGCAGGTCATTTCAATGCACAGGTCATCACCCTTTCCCCAGAAATAGCAGTTCTCAGTGTTCCTAGATGGCATCATTTGGGGATTTCACAAAAACTAACTAGCTGGATTCCTTCAAGGTACAGTAGGCAGGTCCCCTGGAGATTGAATGTAATAAATCTGTCCCTAGGTGTGACTGAATGCATCTTCTTGACAGCTTGTGACCTGCTGCTGAAGTAACTTCAAAATACTTTATTTCCTAAAGGAGACTCTACTCACACTAACTCACAAAATTTTCTAGGTTAGGAAGAAAGACTCTGGTTGACAAAGGAGTCAGTGGCTGCTCAGCCTGACTACTCTCCTCAGGCACGAATTAAGGTACTAGAGTAGTATATACCTGACAGCTGAGAGTCTATCAGTGAAAAACTATTATCTTCCATTAAAACCAAAAAGTCAGCATTGAATTTTACTTGATTGTTCTTTATATCCCCTGACTGAGGAAAAGAAGCATCTAATAAAACACTCAGTCACACTTAAAACTTAATGCCACACTTCATGGAAGATAGACGTTGTGTTTTTCTTGTCCCCGTGACATTTTGCCCTCAGACAAACGTGCAGCAATGAGACAGAGAAGACATACAAGGTTATGAGAATAGCAGAAGCTGTAGCTTGAAGAAATACAAAGGAGTAAAGAAAGGGCATTTGGCAATCAGAAAAATAAAAAGTTCCAGCTGGCAGATACTAAAACATCCAGATATCCTGCTAGAATCAGTAAGAATTTAGATTATTCTGTATGGGAGAAGTCATGAGAGACTTGTGTGAGAAAAACTCAGATGGCACAACTGGAATGACTGTCAGTCATGACTGGAGAAAAAGTGAGTACAAAAAGATCTTTTATGGGGAGATGAATTTACACCATCAGGTGAAAGATGATTGCATAAAAACATGATATAATTGCATAGCTGAAATAGATTGCATAGAGAGGAATAGCTGCATTTTAGTCTGGCAAGGAAAACAAAGGTGTCAGCTGACAAACAGTAATAATAACTGTGATGGTTCACTATAACCTTGATGCCAACAGTTACTGGGCTGCACCATCAAGTGGAAAAAACCAAACCCACATCATTTCAATATATAAAAGAGACAGAAAGCATATGAGTAACTTTACACATACACGTTGTCGCTCCAAATTCAAATGGAATTACTCATGTGAATAAAACCAGTGATATGCATGAGCCTGCACAATGTAGCCTAGATACCAGAGCAAAAGAAGGACCAACCCTTTTGTCAGAAGCCTGAAAAAATGTTTTGCAAGCTGTTTTCATATTCAGTCTCCAAATGACAGGGTCCGTTTTGGACTGGAGTCCAGCCTTCTGAAAAATTCTCACTCCCAGCTGACATGGTCCAGTATTCATCCCAAGCCAGATGCACTTTGGCTTGGGTTTTGGATGGTTGCATTTCTTTGTTTGTCTTTTGCTCGATAGAAGGCATTTTGTGCTTTATGCTCTTTGACTGTGGAAAAGGGAATGAGCAAAAAGAGGGTGGTGAATCTCCTAAACTGGAAGCAGGCAGCAAGAGCTCTGGCAATTCCTACCACAGACCTCCTGCGCAGCATCGCGGAAGCGGCAGGTCCCTGTCCCCAGCGGTCTCCCGGCTGCTGAGCGCTGACAGCGCTTCCTTCCTTTCATGCGCTTTGTTTCTTTTCGTACCTTTGAGTGAAAGCCACTTTGTGCACAGCTGCACTCAGCCCCGCTCGCTGTCCAGCAGTACCGCGGTGTGCACGGCCGGGCTGTGCCGGTGCTCCCCGGGCTGCTGGGCGTGCATGAGCGCTGCTCAGCGCCCTCAGCGCCCCTCCTGCCCCTGGGGGCCGGCGCTGGCTGCTGCAGGTGCCCCCGCTGGCGGGCAGGCCTCAGCGCCCTCTCCTCTGATCCACACCACGGCTGGGCTGGTCCCCACCGAGACGGGGGCAAGGAAAAGAAAAGGAAAAAGAGTCTCGTGAGCCGGCATGTAGCAGGGGTGCACCAAGCCTGACCGCGCCCGCTGCCGCCCCTCGGTCCGCCCCAGGCACTGAGCCCAGCGGGGCAGCACGGAGGTCCCCGGCCGCTGCGGCGACCCCCGCCTCCCGGGGGCAGCAGCCCGGCGCCCCCGCCCTCCCCCGGCCTTACCCTCCCCTCCCCAGCCGCGGGCGGCGGGGCCGGCGGCGAGCCCGGGGCGGGCGGAGACGCGGCCGCTGCCCGGAGCCTGCGCGGGGCCGCTCGGGGCCGCGCGGGTGGGGACGCGCTCGGGGCCGGGCGGCTCCGGCTCTTGTCCGCGTCCCCGCGGCGGGGAGGCTGAGCCGAGGGTGCGCGGGGTGCTGCGGGCTGCGTTCCTTGCGGGAGGAACGTCTCGTAGTCGTTAACTGCCTTATCAGTCATGGGGAAAGTGCAAAATCTCGTTTCTGGCCTGAACGCAGCCAGAAACAAAGATCTCTATAACTTTTGGTTTTGGTTTTCTGTTGTTTTGGTTTTTTTTGGGTTTTTTTTTTTTTGTTTTTTTTTTTTTTTTTTTTTTTTTTTTTTTTTTTTTCTGTGGTAGCGGCCGTGGGAAGGGGGAGGACGGAGAGCGGTGTTTGTTGGTGTGCTCCGTTTCAAGCCCTTTCAAGTCAGCGTTTAGCCCAAAGATCCCTTTTCAGTGAGCCGCAGCCCCAGCGCTTGCTTGGACTTGTGTCCTTGGCTTTCCGTTCGGCTGCCACTGGCTCGCTTTTTTGCCTGTTTCTCGTTTACAGCTACATAAGGCTTCAGAAAACAGGAATGAAACTCCCCCACCCACACGTGCATCTATTTTCCATCCTGACATATTTCCCTGCTTTGAGGCAGAGGCTAAAGCTTTCCCCTTAGTATTGTTCCTTAAAAAAGACTTACTTAGGTAGCTGCAAGTGAAGGCCAACAGAACGACCCAGTCCACAGCAATACAAAGCATATGGTGTGGACTATATAAATAATGCAAATACATTTGATTTTAATATATTGTGTATAATATATCTGACTGTAGTAGTGATGTGTGCTTCTGAATTTTATTATTCTAGAATTCAGGTGTTATTGAGAGGCCAATCCACAGCTACAGTGCAGTACTTTCTCCAGCCTTAATTGTGTTCTCCTAGGGATTAAAAAAAACACCAACAACCCAACAACAAAACCCAAACCCCAAACCAAACCCACACATACTTCATAAAAAGAACTCTGAGATCATTAGCTAACATTTGGAAGTCCCTCAAATTAACATGCGTGAAGGACTGTGGCCAAACTCCCACTGGCTCCCATAAAAGCAGTAATCAGTCCTTCAAGTAAGATTCTCCACAAAATAACACCCAGAAGCCCCTGCAGAAAGGATTGCCAATCTCACCATCTGACTAGATTAAAAACAGCAGTAACAATGTGATAATTGACAGAAGAAACTTCCCTGACAAGGAATGAATCAGTGTTTATTTTTAGCCTTTCCCCCAAAAGGCTTTATTTAAATGAAAGATTAGCTAATTATTTCCGTCGTTGTATTGTCCACACTAGAAACAGGAGGTGGCAGATCTTCACTTGTCTTTGGCTCTTCCTTTGAGGTCTGCACCCTGGAAGGGTGAGATTTTGCCAGTTGTCTTTTCATTTCCAGTCTGATCAAATATGAACAGTGTGAAGGTTTCACTAAATTTAGACACCCCCCAATCAATTTTTTTTTCCTGAGTAGAAAGCCCCAGCAAAGGTGTCAGAAAATGTAAATTGTGATTGTGTCCGTATCCCACCTTTGCTCAAAGCTTCTCTTGCCTGCGAGTCATTAATCCTGTTGCTGCAACTGCCCACTGCAGCCTTTTGCACTGACAGAGCACTTGCATTCCAAGAAGGTAATTTCCTTTCCCTGTGTACAGGAGCCAGCAGTAAAATTTTATCTAGGAGAAAGCAGCTTACCTAAGAAAAGACTAAAAAAATTTGTTCTGTTTTATTGGATAAATGTGAGGAAACTGTATTGATCCCATAGGCGCCAAGTAATATCTGTGTTTCTGATAATAAGCATTTGGGTTCTGCTTTTTTTTTTTTTTTTTTAAGGGAGGACTTATTTTTTCTGATATTTTTTCTTCTTTTTCTGATTTTTTAAAATTTTGAATTAATTGTGGATTGCAGCATGGGTTTCATAAACAGAAAACTAATCAAACTGCTTTGAAAATGTCTGAGGATACTTTTTTTTTTTTGTTATTGACTTAACTGCTGTGGAATTAAGACACATAAATTACTCATTGTTTCATTCCACCACATATCCATAGTATGATGATTGCTACAAAGCACACAAAGAGCTGATTTACCAGTCTCTCACTTTCCATGTCTCAAAGCAGTTGTGCCACATGAAATTCATAAGTCAAATCCCATTAATTTTAGTCTTGGAGAATGAGTCTCACTTTCAGCATTTGAGTCTTTATTCTTCAATGCAAAATGTTTGTGTATATTTTCTTTTCCACACTTGTTAATATTTCATACAATTTTGAATATGACTACTTTGGCTAGACCAATTCTAGGTAAAATAGTTTATTTGTACTAATTTAGTGTATACTTTTTCATTCTTGAACAGAGTGAAATGTGAAGTAGAAGTAAATGCTCATAAAATAATGTGAAATTCTCAGTTTTATGTGCACCCCACTGATCTCTTTCTTCACCATCACAGAGGGAGAAACTCCACTGTTGTTTTGCTCTTAGGAGGAGCCTGAACCCTCAGCATCTCATTTCACATGCTACTGAAAAGATGTATCAAAATGGAATTTTTCCTAGAAAGAAAAGTATTATTTTTCCTGTTTCTGTATCTCCTAAAGAGACCTGGCTGAAAGGGCTACTCATTGGGATGAGCTCTGCCATGCAAGTATTAACAGCAATGGTGCCTCCACAGCCCCAGATAACTCAATTCCTGTTTAGAAATAAGATGCCTGTAATGCTAATGGGAACATTGTATGAAATTATTTAATCTGTGGGCAATCAGGCCAAAGAAATCCATGAATCATTCATAGTCATTCCTACACATCTGCATTGCAAGAGATACAGTTAAGTACAAAGGAAAACATTACAGATGGGGGAGGCTGAAACAGAGAATAAGGTACAACTGGCATGAAATACATGGGGTTTTAACCAAAATTTATTTTATTGGCTACAGGCCAAGTCCAAAAAATAAGTGTTTAGAGGAGGACTTGAGTTCCTAAGTCTAAAACAGAGATGGTGGAAAAACCCCAGTGAGCTGTGTCTGACCTTGCACCACGCCTAGATTCCCAAACCACGTTTCCTGTTTATACAGAAGCTATATTCTGCTGTATAGAGCCTCTCTGTGTACCTAGATCTGCACCAGTTCAACAGGGCTGAGCAGCTTGGCACTCTTTCATATCTCAGCTCAATCAGGAACTAAAAGCTTTGTGTTGCTTCATTCAGTTCCCCAGAGAGGCTCAGTTCAAGAGGTAATCCTCAAACCTCTCTAAAGGATGCCAATCAGACCGAGTCTTGACAACTGGAGCCGTACCTGTTCCCTCTAAAAGACATTTCTGTGATCTACTAGAGCAGGTAAAGCATTTATCCAGGTAGTGGAAGGTCTGAGTTCAGGGCCTGTTCTTTGCAGATCAGAGATACCAGTAGCCACATTGATGTCTGAGTAAGTATTCACATGAAACCAGCCTCAAAGCTTGATCACTCACAGTGTCAGCTCCATCCCCTGCACAGGGCACTCCAGAGCAGGTGGTGAAGCTCTGTACAAGGATGCTTAAATGAGCACTGATGTGTTCCTCTAGATCTGACTGATGCCATGCCAGACAAGGGGGCTGAAAAGTAGCTGAGAGGCAGCGTTAGGGTGGTGGTAGTACCTCTGAAATTAGCTGTGCCAGGGGCCTCCCCCTTCAGCATGTTCCTGCTGTTAAGGAAGCAAAATCTACATTCATTGTTGAAACTATTTCAATATGGAAAGCCGATTTTTTAAAAAAAAGAGATAAGTTATCAATTTTAAACAGAAATGTTCCTCTCAGCCTAGCAATAGCTACTCAGGAGCTTGAATTTGCAGCTGACAGGTTGGTAGATATAAGCAGCACTGGCTGCTGGTCAACTCTCTGGGAATGCCTTCAGTGAATACAGGTTTGGGAAATACCACTGGATGGCAATCTTGTGCCACAGAGGCTGTAATCACCTGTGATTTTTCTTTTTTTTGGCTGCAAACATAGATGTTTTTTAAAGATTTCCACTTCTTCCAAACACCATCATAGAGTTACTGCAGGTAAGGCATTTAGTTTAATTTAGAGTTGCACAAGCATAGCTGGGACAAGAATATGAACCAGATGTTGAGAAGTGATATTTTGACTGTTAATTCAATCAATAAAGTTTTGAACAATTTATGAGACATGAATACAAGGAGCAAGAATAGATGCTCTGGCCATGGAACAAGAGCACCCAGCATCAGTTCTTCTGTGTTGTTACAATCTACACTAAATTCTAATCACCGACCTTAATGCCTTGTTACAAACCACTGTTTTTACCCTTAAGACTGCTGTATTATACACAGTATTCCTTAAAGATACAAGAAATTTCTACTATGGCTGGCTTAAAACAAGAAGTTATCTTAGTTCTGAAAGTCAACATTTGAAGTCTTTGTTTTAAGGTTTCCAGTCTATGTATTTAAAATGTTTGGCGAGTGTTTCAATAATTTCTAATATATATTTCATAATATTTCAAATATTATGTTTTTA